AATGACTTCTTCACCTGTGAGGAAATTATCCAGCACCCACCGTCATATAGGAAGACTGATATCAGATAGCAGTTCAGGACTATTTTCTTTGTTTCTAACGAAAATTTCCCGTTTCCTAATACTTCGTTTTGCTTCTGGAAAGAATTTTTCGCAAATCCCGATACAACATCGAATGTTTGTGTTACGTAAGTTAAATTTTTGTACCTTCTTGATTTTCGCGCCTCCCATTCCTAGCTCGCATCTTGTTTTGTCCCCCTCTCTGACAAGAATACATTCTTTCTTCTTACAATTTACAGTTAGCCCTTTCTTCCTGCTTTCTTTTAATACCTTGTCTCAGTCAGTTATATGCCATGCGTGATACACGCTTAAGTCTTTCGATACATGACTGACGAGGTAGATTTTTTTCACGCAGTAGGTTGCCATTTCTTTCTGCGGTAGATCATTTGCCATCCAAAGCTATAGAACTCGGTTTGTCCTGCTATTTACCCATAGCTTAGAAGAGGATTCATACCTTTCCCATCTACGTAAGTGAATGTGGATCGACTGGAATTCGAACTCGGCTCTCCGATTCCTCAATCCAGGCCGCTATATATTACTCCAGGAGTTTGTGAAGTTTTATTTCTGTACCTGCCATCAACATAGTGTTATCTGTATATTTTATGTTGTCAAGATTGCATCCACCAATAAGACTTTAGTCCCAATACTTTTGATCAGATCTCACACACACACACACACACACACACACACACACATATATATATATATATATATATATATATATATATATATATATATATATATATATATATATAGTGCTGTTCTATAAAAGTGACTCACCTGAATGTTCTCTTCTCGATGAAACGAAAGTTGAGCTAAATTCAAAATAAGCGATCTAAAATCCGAAGAAGAAGCTTTAAAGCTCTTTGAATTTAGCAGTAAGTACTGTCAAACATCCGTTCAGTATAATGTTCTGGGATGCTTTTCTTTTCATGGAACTGGTTTCTTAAAACCTATTGAAAAGACCCTCAGAAGCAAGCAGTACAAGAGAATTTTAGAGTCTTGTCTGCTCCTTCTGCTGAAAAGTGCAAATCGACCCCACCAAAACTCATTTTTATGCAGGATAATGCTCCTGTCACAAATCAAAATTGATGAAGGAATACTTTGATGAGAAGCAGGTGAGTGTTATGACATGGCCGCTCCAATCTCCTGACCTTAACCCCTTAGATTAAGTTCCGGTTCAAAGTTTGAGCGTTCGAATCTCATTTCACTGATCTGTGAAAGCCTTATAGCAGAGCGTTATAAAATTTATAGTTCAAATATATACAGGCAGTTGGTTTGAAATTAAAAGGAATACTAAATTCCATAACCAACAACTGTGTATCTTCAATATGATCCAGAGAATAAGGCAACAGTCGACCGAAATACAGAATGTTACATTAAAAATTTACAGCACTATGCTTTCGTCTTTATTCCAGAAAATATTCTTTTCTCAAGGTTGAAGTCAGATGAATTGGAGGCGTGGAAAGAGAGTAGAAAAAAGTATCCATTAAATCAGTAATTTTTTATATTTTTTTTCAATTTAAAGTTTATTTCATTTATTTGACTAGTTTTCAAAATTTCATTCGTTTCTGATGTCAACGAATACTCGTTATCACTTTCATAATGCTTGTTGTAGTAGAGACTTTGTAATATCGCACATACAACTATAGTAACGCCGTTGAACAATGCTGTTGTCAGACGCCTTCGAATAACACTCACACTAATAGTACTTGTTCGATAATATTCGCTCGAATAGTAATCACCGAATAGTAATCCGTGCAGTGAAATAGTATAGTGAATAAAGTAGAGAATAGCGGTCCGTATAGTAATAGAGTAGAAATAGGAATGGTGATTATTTAGACGCGCGCTACCTCCCGTATATGCGTTTCCTCTATCGTCACATGACCTACTTAATTCAATAATGGGATCGCCTGTGTTTGCTCACTGGCGATATATGTTCAAACTCAAGTGTCGGCAGCGATACTTTATTCCTATATAACACATTCAAATTTCATAATAAAAACATTGGCAATTTTTCCAATAAAAAATGTTCTTTTTTTTTTTGTTTCAGAAATAGCGTGCGACCAAAGAAGAGTTTAAAACAAATTATATTTACCAACTCTGAAGCGACACACTGGTCAAATTTAATTAACCTATTATAAAACGGAAAGGAAGAACCTGCGCGCGCAGAAGCTTTTTCAAATAATGAACTGCAAGCGGTTCTAATAAATGGGACGAGGTTGGAGTCGATGAATTTGCCTGCACATCAGGGCAGGTTGATTTTTCACTTGCTTTTAGAAAATAAATGTTGCATTCCGTGTCATAGCTGATGTTTGATGTTTGACACCAAAAATTAGATTCATAACTTTCATCAATTTTTGAGCATGTTGTTTTAAAAATCGTCTGAAACAAATGTACAAAAATTATACAGAGCATCTATGTATATTCTTGAGAGTTGAAAGAATTTAAGTTACACCGGTTGTGGTTGTAGGTAAAATATATTTGCTTACAAACTGACTTCAAAATTTTACTATTTCAAGAATAAATCCGAATAAAGTTGATGTCTTTTGTATGAGCTACAGTGAATGGAAAACATATTCAAACCAGAATTCTAATAATGAATTACCACAATCAAAAAATTCAGTTTTTCTATTATATTCCATAAGTATAATCTATGGAAAAAATTGTAAAAGTTTACAAAAAAGGCTACTTAAGGCTAAGATTTTTTAGATCATAACTATTAAAAACAAAATATAGATAAAAGTGTATAAAACACTATAATACTGCTGGGAACAAATTATAAGAAAAAATTATTTTAAATTTTCATTGTTAATTGAAAATCACACTGTATAACATATTACATCATAATACAACTAAATTGTTCAGTCTAATTTCCCTTTGAAGTAAATGAAGGCCTTATTTGATGGCACAATGATTTAGTAATTAATGTGCTTGTGGCTTGCATCTTTTGAAATTATGAAGTCAGTTTGTAAGCAAAAAGCTGCAGGAATTTCAGTACCTTTTCTTCGGACGATCTTTAAAACTAAATGCTCAAATATTGGTAAAAGATATGAATCTAATTTTTGGTGTCACTACTTATCCAATCAGATTCCAGATTTGGCACCGAGTATAATGTTGATTTTCTGGAACATGCGAAAAATCAACCTGCCTAATGGCCACAGTAAAATCTCCTTTAGTTGATTGCCAAGTTTTATAAAGGCGTTGTAATGAAAATGAACGCACACCATCAAGACAAACCTTCTATACATATATAAGTCTACTCACAGTACCGATTTACTTGTGAGAAGAGATGCTTAAAACTTTCCAAATCTCATTGAGTCAATCATTTGCCTAATACTATATATATATATATATATATATATATATATATATATATATATATATATATATATTAATGAGCAGTATGGATATTTTCAAAAGGATATAAATCCAGGGAGAGCTCTATGTTAGAAATAGAACAATAATTATTCTTATAAAAGGAACAAACACTAAAATTTCAAATCCAAAATCTATCTATCTATCTATCTATCTATCTATCTATATATCTATCTATATATATATATATATATATATATATATATATTTGCTTGGATTGATGTGAGTTTGTGATCCTGGGTTTCACGCTTTTGATCGTCAGACAAACTGATTAATTTTTTAAGTACCGCGCATATAATATATAAATAATTATATATATATATTTATTTATTTATATTTATACACATTTTTCACACACACACACACACACACACACACACACACACACACACACACACACACACACACACATATATATATATATATATATATATATATATATATATATATATATATATATATATTAGTTGCTGATACCCTCCCTGATGAATAGCGGTGCGATCCCGGAGTGTCCGTCTATGAAACTCTGGACTCGGAATGCTAAAAATAACATCAATCAGATAGTTTAGACACATATAAAATCCAAGTAAAACCCTCCTGTGATGATGTGCATTAAATTAATCTGCTATCTTTAGATATGACCATCCTTTAAGCCCACTGAGAAATACGAGCCCAATTCTTTCTTCTTTCGACAAAAACATCTTTAATCTGTGGAGGTAAAGAAAATATAGTGAATGGGATTTCATATGTGTCCAGACTTTATGGACACCTTTTCTATATACTAGAGGGCAAATATTTGAACCCACTCATTGGATTTAATCATTAATATGATTAATACCTTATTTGGTTTAATTAATTTTTACTAAGATCGGAAGCTACTGAACTCATTAGTATATGGCGTCAAATGCTTTGGAATTAGGTGGCCTACTTTAATTTTAAAATCTGCCAGCCCTCGTGCAGTGATGATTTAATTTCGTTGTTGCTGTTATCATTTTTTAATATGTAATTAAAAAAAAACCTTTAGAAAGAGACAATCCCTCTGGACAGAATTGAACTATTAAATTAGTTTTGAAAACCCATGTAACTTTCAATTTTTCGAAATCCAGAGAGTGGCTCCAAGTTTTTGGAATGTTGCGTAGAGAAATATGTTGGACATGAATCTAGGAAAGAAAGAGTAAAATAAAAAGCAAACAACAGCAACAAAAGAGACTTCCAACTCAGATATCAGATATCATTAACCGCAGAGAAACATTTAGTGTTCACTCTTCCCGCGCACTGTACGGTGAGTCGCCTTCCTTAATTTTACAGCAATTTGCATAGTAGCGTGGTGGATTCCTGTGGGGCATTAATGGCAATTAGTTTCCAAGATGATCCTTGCTTAGAATGAGTTTGGAAGACTTGGTAAAGAATTGCTTAATGTCACTGAGAATACTGGAAAGAAGGGGTAATGAGTGGGTGTTTGTCAAAAGAAATTCAAAGATTTCTAGCGCAGTCTAAATATCCATTTTTCTGTGGTTAACCACGCAAATTAAGTGCTAGTCATTGTAACACGCACTGAACTATAGAAAAAAAAATCTATCTATCTATCTATCTATCTATCTATCTATCTATCTATCTATCTATCTATCGAATTCTTAAAATAATTTTCGACCAATACAGAATCATGTCTATGAGCATTAGAGGTAGTAAAAAGTGCTGTTTATGAACTTTTTTTTTCTTTTTTTTTAATCGTTTTTCTCCAAGCAATGTGGAAATACCACTAGTATGCAGGGGGGGGGGTACAGGGAGTGAAAGTGAGAGAAAAGACGTAAGTAAGACCTCCTAGCATATGGAGGATTGAGGAAAGGACAAAAGATGAACGGGCTTCAAGAAAATAGAAGATGGTGATTGACGTCGCATTTAAATTTTTGGAGATTGTAATTAACAGGGAAGCAAGTAAAAAGAGAGTTCCACAGGCGGGAAGTGCGAGAAAAGAAACTGCTGCAGTAGAAGTGGCGGTTGAATTTATCTATTTCAACAGTAAACGGTTGGAACCTAGATGCCAATCTAGTGACACACTTAAATTCATGTAGTCGGGTACCAGGGGAAAAAAGGTCGTCAGAGCAATTGTAGAAAATATAAAATGTTTGTAAAAAAGACAGAGGGAAGCCACGTTATTATTATTATTATTATTATTATTGAGTTTTCATATGTTAGGTTGTTCGGAAGATAATGTTCGATTTTCGAATAAACCTTTTTATTGTATTCTAATATATTCGTTTGTTCGGTAAATCATGTGCCATTTTAGAATATACAAAACTACCAACGTTATGTAAACAACACAAAGCAAACTCGTAATTTCAGTGAAAAAGCCTTGTATTTTCACATAATTCAAGACTCGTAAGAGTTCCAATCGAAACGCTAATCATGAATGACATATGTTATGTGAATGGAAGAGACCGTGGTAGGAAGCGACGATTATGACGATAAGGAAGACAGACAATGCTTGACCCTAGACTTGAAGAAGTCAAGATTGTGTTATTCAGAAAAGTACCCTTCCTCGTTGAGTTCATTTCTGTTTGGTGCTAACTGATACAGAATCCAGTGAACGATTAATCTTCTCGACAACTCAATGCAGAGCATTGATGATTTTGTGTCAGACAGAAGCTTGACAAGGTGATCATATTTTCCCAAAGATTATTCTAGAATGTTTCTAGATGTCACGATAGCGAGAAAAAGAAAATACAGATACTGAACAAAATAAAAGTGTTTTACAATCAATAGACAATGCTCTAATGAAGTTACTACCACCAATTTCAGGTTGTACCGAGCACAGGCGATATTGATGGCGAGCTTGTTGCTTACAATTCACACACCGATTGGATTGCTTTTACAGATTAGCAAATTTTTTGTAGGTTATTTAAAGCCAGAAAATATCTTTAGATTGTAAGATTTTTATTTAGATAATAAAGATTTACTGGTACAATTTCTACTAATTAACCTATAGTTGGGGAGCACCTGACACTTTTTTTTAACCAATATATTTGTTTATTTGATCTTAACATTTCAATTGATTTATTTTTTTTTACGGTTTATCAACCATTTTTACGTAACTTAAAATCAAGAATATTTTTAGTTAATAAAATATTCTACATTATAGGTAAGTCAAGTACCATATATGATACACGATTGGCCGATCGTGTCACTTTCGATTCATTACTGACAGAAGATATTTCTATTTTGATTGTAAGGATTTTTGGGTGATAATAATGATTTACTGATACAAGTCCTACTAATTAACCCATAGCTGGAGGAGAGAACTAGTGGATTCATATATTTTCTAAGAGTATCTCCGCGTAAGTTAATATAACGAACAAACCCAACTGGAATTGGAACTCGGCTGTCCGATTTCGAATTCTGAGCCGTTGTCCATTACACCATACACACTTCCAAGCTTACAGCACCTGATATACCCTAGCGGCCAACCATCTGAGTACTGACCAGGCCCGACGTTTATTAACTTCAGTGATCGTACGGGGACCGGTATTTTAACGCGATATGACCGTAAGCTCGCTAAAATTATTGCTCTATGAGAGAAAATGGAGACGGAGTTGATAAAATGCTTTCCAGGCTCATAAGCACGAATTCATCGGACGGTAATTGTTAATTGATCAATGAGATTGTCTGGAATGGAATCTACAGTTACTGAATCATACTTTAACTGTTTTATTTCTCCCGGAAAGGCACAAAGAATGTGTTGTTCCAGTAATTCAATAAACTGAAATGTTTACAAAATATTTACAATTTATTTCCTAATAGATACGATCTATTCCCCTTTTCAGCATTCCCATGCAGTCTGAGACGTTGTCCTCATCTGTAATGGCAATAGTAATATTAACCGTTTCCTTATCAGGAACACATTCGATATTCATTGACCAGTGCTACGAGAGTTACTCTTTTCTTCTCTTCCTGGCAATCGGACGGAATCAAAGTGTAGTATCTGCTCTCGTGTGGCTGAACTACATTTTAATTTTCAATTGTGTGTCTGTCTTCAGACAAAGCGCAAGTCAGTTGTGTGTCTGTCTTCAGACAAAGTGCAAGTCAGTTATGTGTCGGTCTTCGGACAGAGTGCAAGTCAGTTGTGTGTCGGTCTTCGGACAGAGTGCAAGTCAGTTGTGTGTCTGTCTTCAGACAAAGCGCAAGTCAGTTATGTGTCGGTCTTCGGACAGAGTAAAATCAGTGTCGGTCTGTCTTCAGACACGCAAATCAGTGGTCTTCGGACAGAGTGCAAGTCAGTTGTGTGTCGGTCTTCGGACAGAGTGCAAGTCAGTTGTGTGTCGGTCTTCGGACGGAGCACAAGTCCGTTGTGTGTCTGTCTTCGGACAGAACGCACGTCAGTTGTGTGTCTGTCTTCGGACAAAGCGCAAGTCAGTTGTGTGTCGATTTTCAGACAGAGCGGAGCTTCAGAAATGAGTGCCATACTGTTCGATGACAAGTGAATCCATTGCCCCATGTTCTGTTAATATCGGCTGCATTATGAGTAAGATTGAACTCATGTAAAAATGTAAACGCATCTCTTCTTTTTTTTTTTAAAATGAGGGGTATATAATATTTTAAGTTAATTTCTGAAAGAGATTGGGATGAGATTAGCAAAGAGGACACTTTAACTATTAGGGATGTGTAATGAACAGCGGCTGGTATTGAGAAATCGTAGAGCCGTGTTCGAATTCCAGTCGAATCCATTACATTCACTTACGTGCTAATACCCTTAGGAAATGTATGAATGCTCTTCTTCTCCCTCCAGCTATAGGTAAATAGCAGTACAGACCAGGTTCTATAGCCTTGGATGGCAACTGATCTACCTCAGAAAGAAATGGCAACCTACTACAGGAAAAAATCTGCCTTGTCAGTCATGTATCGAAAAGAAACATGATCGCCTAAGTGTGTATCACGCATGACACATAACTGACTGAATGTTTGTGCAACTACTACGATAATACAGGGTGTCCATAAAGTTCGTGTGCACTTTAAAAAATTTATAACTTTATTTGGACTTGCGATAGAAATAATCTGTAAAAAGTGTTATAAAGTTTAATGTACCTAGTTTTAAGTATAGCTAAAATAACTAATGTGATTTCAGTCATTACTGTAAATCAGTTGGCAAATGTTTTCCGTGAATTGCAAAATCGGATTACCCTTTGTATTGCTAATGATGAGGAACATGTGGAAACTTAAATAAAATTTCAATAAAACCTTAAAAAATATAGATGTACTTCTTTCTAATCCTTTTTACAAATTATTTCTATCGCAAATACAAATAAAGTTATAAATTTTTTAAAGTGCACACGAACTTTATAGACACCCTGTATATTAGAACACAAAAGGTTTATTCTAAATCGGACATTACTTTCCGAACAAATTAAGTTAGTTTTCTGAAAGAGCCTGACTCTTTGATCATTAGAAATTAGTAATATATGGTTATATGGGATGTGCGTTGTTATGTAATGGATATTGGCTTGGACTGAGAAATCGGTGATACGAGTTCGAATTCGTTACATTCATTTACTTGGGAAAGTTTAAACGCATCTCTTAACCTCCCAGATATGGGTTAAATAAGAGGACAGATTGAGTCATGTAGCCTTAGTTTGCAACGAGTCAAAAAGAAAGAAAATCAGTCTACTGTGGGAAAATATTCCGTTTAGTCAGTAATGAATCGAAAGAGACATGATCACCCAAGCGTGTATCACGTATGGCATTTAACTGTCCGACTCATTATACCTTTGTGCAGTTACTATAATAATATATTAGTAGACATCCGTTGATCTCGCGAGTTAGGTCAAAGTTCAATCCTTTGGTGGTAAGACTGAAGTGACCTCTCCAGGGCGCAGGCCTGGGTGATGATATATGAAGGGCATGCTCTGCCGAGACGACATGGCTCTTCTCTCGGCCGTACCGACAAGATCCAAAGAGATGCAGGGGTCGGTTTGACTTCAAGAGTTGCCGAAAAGTAGTCAGTGTTAACAGACAAGGGCTTTCGGTGTTTCTGCCTGGATTTACTTCCATAGCCTTCTCCGTGTTTGGATATGACCAAAATGCAGAGGAGGTTTAAAATCAGTTTTCCTTCCCCTTGATGGACTGCCATCCTGGGCTACCGAACTCCACCCGAAATAATATATTAGAATACAATACCCGAAATAATATATTGGAATACAATTAAAAGGTTTATTCTAAAATCGGAAAATATTTCCCAAAGAACTTAATGTAAAAATGTAATGCAGAAGGACGTATACCTGTGTTGTATAAATTACTAGCAGCATGACCCGGCGTTGCCCGTGCTTGATTCAAAAATCGTACGACTCATACAGCAATCGCTATCACTTGACTTAAAATATTTGTGCCCTTCCTTCCTTTTTTTAAAGGAGTGCCTTTTCCGTGCTGATGTTGCTACATGCCTTACTTGCCTATCTCACACTGAGAATTTTTTCTAAGCTCTATACTAAACATTAAATCTGTTACGAAAAAAGAACTAAACAAAATGAACACAAAACGATCAGCTTTAAAAAAGGACTCGTAACTGGAAAAACCGAATGAAAAAACAATGTTAACAGCAAATAGTTTTTCACACCCAACCCAGTTCTGCAGAATCAGAATCAACGTTGAGTTTAAGCGAGCGAATGAGCCAATTGGAGTAAAGTGCCATGCAGATTTAAATTTTTCCCACTTGTGACGAATGCAGCTATCGATTTTTTTGCATGCTAGCATGCTAGTTAACATTCGTGTTAGTCAGCTGTTGCCTCTCACGCTGGGCAATAGAATCTTCCTGCCTATTCGTGGCAGCCAGCTATAGGTTCTCACTCTGGCCAGCACAAAATGGCCGCAAACTATATGAAAACTTCCGTAGAAGCATGAAAGAATCAATTATTTCCACTATCGATGGGAGTTTGGAAATGCAAAGTCGGTCTTGGCCTTCCCACTAACTTGGAGCATGTGCATGTAAACTTTGGTGCAAATCCGTCGAAAATTGCGGCCGTGCATTCGTTACACACACACACACACACACACACACACACACACACACACACACACACACACACACACATCCTGCCTTTTATAGATAGAGATGGAAAGACGTTCGATAAATTACACCACAAAGATCTATTGGAACTGCTCATAAATCTTACTTATAAAACGCAGATAGTGTGTGTGTGTGTGTGTGTGTGTGTGTGTGTGTGTGTGTGTCTGTAACTTTCATATATTGGATCGGATTTCCTACATTTTTCAACCGATTTCAACAAAACTTCACAGGACTACATAAAATTACTTTGTGGTGGTTCTAACAGCGCCAAAAATGCGAAAAATATAATTGTTCTTGCACAAAATCAATTTGAAAACACTATTAAGAGACATCATGAAAATGGAAGGGGACAACTCATCGGATTTCCTATATTTTCAGCCGATAAAACAAAACTTCACTTTTTTTTTTTTTGGCAGGTAGTGTTTTTATTCTTTGCACACATTTTTTTTTTATTTTAACATTCAGAATGCTTTAAAAATTCCTTTTACAAGACAATTATTTATAATAAAATTCTATTCAATTGGGAGACTCATAACGATTGAAAACAATGTTTTTGTTTGAGTTTGGGTTTGACCAATTCGTAAAAAATAAAAAAAAAAACTAATTAAGACATGCGTGTCTGTCAACCTTAAACAATAATCTAACGATCTCTACTGATTGTACGAATACCAACATCGGATAAATTCTTTATCTTTAGGGAAAGATAATGAAATCTAAACATACACAAGTCCTAACTAAAAATAATAACCGGAACGGGAAACTACTTTAAATACAAATGGTGTCCAATTTTTTTACTGTATTCTATAAGTAAAAATCATAAATTGTAAAAGATTATTACAGAAAGGCTACTAAATGAATAAGATTTGTTAGATCATAATTAATAAACCCAAATAAAGTTAATATTTTTTGTATTAGAAACAACGAGTGGAAAATATATTCAAATCAGAATTCTAATTATGAATCACCACAAGCAAAATATGCAATTTTTTTTTACTGTATTCAATAAGTAAAAATCATAAATTGTAAAACTAAAAGATTACAGAAAGGTTACCTACATTTTCAACCAATTTCAACAAAACTTCACTTTTTTTTTTTTTGGCATGTAGTGTTTCATATTGTCTTGCACACTTTTTTTCTTTTATTTTTACATTCAGAATGCTTTAAAAATTCCATTTACAAGACAATTGTTTATAAAATTATTCTATTCAATCGGGAGACTCATAACGATTGAAAGCAATGTTTTTGTTTGAGTTTGGGTTTGACCAATTCGTAAAAAAAAAAAAAAAAAAATTAAGACATGCGTGTCCGTCAACCTTAAACAATAATCTTTGTCAATTTTATTTTTCAGTCTTTATGATAGTGGATAGTTGATCTATCTCTGACTGTTATATCCCCGGGCAACGCCGGGCTCTACTGCTAGTATGAAATATTTTGGAAGGATATTAGAATAATCCAGAACAATAGAGGCAACAAACCGTCTGCATACGGATAGAAAATGAGTTCAGCAGATGTACAAATATAGAAGGTGGTGTAAAACAAGGATATGTTTTCCCACCGGTCTTATTCACCAATACAGCGAGACGATTCTGAGAGGACTAGAAATCTTGACAGGATTCATTATTAGCTGCCACAATCTTAACATTAGATATGCATATGACACAGTATTGATAGCAGACACAGAGAGAAAACTACAAAACCTTCTACAGCAGACAGAAAAGGGAATCTAGAAGAAAAGATTAAACATCAACTGCAAGATGACAGAATGCATGGTTGTTAGCAAAAGAGGACAACCCAAAATGCTAATTAAAAATCGGGGATACCAAAATCAAACAAGTACTAAAATTTAAATATCTGGGAAGGGTTCTAACAGAGGATGGAAAGTGCGACACTGAGATCCAAAGACGCATTGGGATAGCGAAAGACGCCTTCTAAAAGCTAAGCAGATTATTAAGAAACAAGAACAATTTCGTTAGAAACAAAGAAAAGAATACTGAACTGTTACGTGATATCTGTCCTCCTATATGGCAGTGAATGCTGGCCAATCTTCTCAAAGATGAAGAAAAGACTTGAGACAACAGAAATATGGTTCTACAGAAGCATGCTGAGGATACCATAGACCAAATATGTAGGCAATGACGAGGTTTTAGAAAAAATGGAAACAAAAAGGAAACATACTTAACATCAAGGAGGGGTAGTTGAAATTTCTGGGCCTGTAATGAGGAAGGAGAGCTTGTAAAATCTGATACTCACAGGATAGATTGATGGTAAGAGGTACGGAGGAAAAGATCGCATAACATACTTGATTGACTTGAGTAAATGGATGGCAGAACAAGGTTTAGGAGAAATAGCAAAAAGACAAAATTTAAGAGCTACAAGGGACAGGAAATTGTGGAGGGCCATGATCGTCTACGTCTTGGGGGCGGAGAGCACGACACATAAAAAAGAATATTTCAGCACAATTTTATTTCGTACTTCTTAATACTTTGTTTAGCTTTTGAAAGGCAGTTTTCGTTCTTTCAATGCACCATCGGATTCTTCTTCCTTTATGTGACGTATCCCTTCAAGACGTTGGCGATCATGGCTCTCCACAATTTCCTCTCATTTGTAGATTTCAATAAATTTTGTCTTTCTATTACCTCTCCTAAAGCTTGTTCCGCCACCCATTTACTCAAGCTCATTCTTCTTTTTCTATATGCCGTATCCCTTCAGGACTTTGTCGATCATGGCTCTCCACAATTTCCTGTCCTTTTTAAATTTCAATAAACTTTGTCTTTTTGTTATCTCTAAAAATTGTTCCGCCGTTCATTTATTCAAACTCGCAAGGTGGGTTATGCATTGATTCCCCGTTGCTTCTCTGTCTTGTGAGTATTACCTTTTCCAAGCCTTCTTTCCTCATTATCTACCCTAGACATTTTAACTGTCACTTCTAAGTATGTGTTCTTTTTGTTTCTTTTTATTGATTGATTTATTTTCTACGGCTTATCAACCCTTTGTATGTTATTTAAAGCAAGAAAATATTTTTTAGAATGTAAGATTTTTCCTTCAATAATAATGGTTTTAGTGATACACGTCTTACTAATTAATCCATAGCTGGGGAGAGAAAAATTCGATTCATGTTTTCCCGTAAGTGAATATAACGAAACGAACGAGAATTGGAACTTGGATCTCTCCGATTAACAATTCCGAGCCTTTAGCCATCACCCCATACGCACATCCCAGATTGCAGAACCTGGTATTGCCAAACAGTCAACCATCTAGGTACTGATCAGGCTCGGCGTTGCTTAACTTCGGTGATCGTATTGGACCCGGTGTTTCAACGTGATATTTTATTTTCTCTAAAACTTCTTTGTTGGTTCACATGCTCCGTCTCTCGTATTCTCAGAATCCTTCTGTAGAACGACATTTCTGTTGTTTCAAGTCTCTTCTTCATCTTTGAGGAGATTTCCCAGCATTCACTGTCATATAGGACATATAGTACATAACAGGTAAAGACTATTTTCTTTGTTTCTAACAAAATCGATTAACTGTCATATTTTCCCTCTTTCACACAGAAAAGCATTCATCTCATCGATAGATGCTTCGTTAACATAGAAGGTTATTCTGAAGTGTTGGCAAAATTCAAAAAAGACTCATTTTCTTCCAGATCCGTTATATTTTGACTGACATTTGAGAAAATCGTGACACAAATCGTCAGAAATCTTTCATTCGAAGCCATGCAAATTAATATCCACGAACATATATATTAATCACCTGTTTAAAACAGGAATGGACTTTAAATGAAACCAAGTGATATTAGTTTTTACAAGCATAATGAACATTCTTCGGTGGATTTCGTAACCCGAACTCAGTTACAATGCGTGGCGATAAGAAAGAAGTTGGTCGACGTCGGCTGGAGTGATCCGTCATCCGCCAAGAATTAATGGGCATTTTGTCGTCCCAATTGTGCTTTCTACTACCTACTTTTGGCACCTGCATTGTTCCTGGGTCTGTCATATGTTTTAACATGTCACCTCCTGTTTGACAAAATCTGGGAGAAACTGGCAAAATTAATTAACGTCACCAGATCACCATTCTTCATTACTTTGTTACTTGTAAATGCATAATTATATATTTGTTTTATCTCTCTCTCTCTCTCTCTCTCTCTCTATATATATATATATATATATATATATATATATATATATATATATATATATATATATATCAGCCTGTTACTATTTAACACTCATATCTATCTATCTATCTATCTATCTATCTATCTATCTATCTATCTATCATCATCCTCTTCATATCTATCTGCATAAATAGCTATATGTACATATCTCTCTCTCTCTCTCTCTCTAAAAAATATATATATATATATCAGCCTTTTACTATTTATCGCTCATATCTATCTATCTATCGCAAGCTCTTCATATCTATCTGCTTTAATAGCTATCTGTACATATCTATCTATCTATCTATCTATCTATCTATCTATCTATCTATCTATCTATCTCTCCCCCACTCTCTCTCTCTCTATATATATATATATATATATATATATATATTTACTATATTTACTATTTATCGCTCATATCTTTCTATGTATTTATCCATCTATCGCAAGTTCTTCATATCTATCTGCGTTAATATCTATCTATCTATCTATCTATCTATCTATCTATCTATCTATATATATATATATATATATATATATATATATATATATATATGTATGAAGCCACAGAACATAAAACACTGATTTGAAAAAGCACAACGGTATTTTTCATTTTTTTCTTTTCCTAAATGTATCCTTTTCATGTAATACTTTTTAAAAAGTAATCATTGGCACACATCTGACGAAACAAGGGATAATAATCGCAAAAAATTAAATGAAGTGGGGAACTTTGGAACACCAATAAACAATTTACTAGTAAATAATACACGATTAAAATAAGTCATAATCAGTTCCAACTGAGTATAAAGGGGTAAACTTCTTACTCAGAACCCTCCAAGCAAGCATAGAGAGCGAATGAAGTCTTCTTTCTGCTTGCACAGATCCTGTTGATGTAACTTAATATATATACTGTTTCAAGAACACGCAAAACAGTCAAAATCTATCTACATATTTACTGACACAATCGGGATTATCAAGTAGATGTTGGCCTATTGACGAATCATATGCTGACTGAGTCGTCTCAAAAGAAAGACTCAGATTACCTGCTTTTATACTGGCCGGAACATGTTGACGCATACGGGTCATCAATCTCAGACTAGTCCGTCCCACCTATTCAGCATCACACAGACATTTGTACGAGAGAACTACTTTGAAAGTAGGACAGACGATCTTTAACAAAAGATGGACACACAGAATTGGTCTTAAAAAACAACCCGTAATTTGACAGTAGAAAAACCTGATATAACGCAAACTGACTCTCTGTCTGCAAGTATTGGACTCTTGCTACCTTGCCACAGCAATTTCAAATAAATAGGACAAAGACCGAGACCAAAACTACTAATTCTTTGAAACGTCTAATTTTATGCTCAACATATAAAAATAACATTAGCAAAGAAAACCATTGTCAATAAAAATGTGATGAATTTTCTCCAGTTCCTTGTCAAGAAATCTTCAGCGCGCGATGGACGAAGGCGAAAATTGGGTTAATCTTACGGACTTTTGTAGAAATTCTAATTACTGTACAGACCTGTGAACGTAGGTTTGTGATAAACGCGGGTAATAAAGAGGCCATCTCTACGTTCAGCAAGAACATCCAAGAAAGGCAAAGTACAACCATTCTCCGCTTCCATGGTAAATTGCAAAGATGGATGAAGGCAATCGAATTGAGTATGAAAGGCCGTAGCATCGTTGATGAAATCAAAGATGGAAAACGTGTCATCAACGTAGCGTAAATGTACATGGGATTTACGGTATTTTTCAAACAAAAGTTTCTCCTAGAAACCAACAAAAATGTTGGCTAATACTGGACTCAACGGACTACCCTTTGAAAACCCATCAATTTGGTTGTACATAGTCAAAACTAACCTCAACTCCTTCAGTTGCTAAATGCATAAACTAAAAAAACAGAACTTCCGGAATTAAAGCAGGACTCAAGCGACCCCTGTAGAGAGTGTCGAGGCATATTTGTACAGTGTCTTTGTCTCGTATACAAACTAACAATGCCAAATGACACTAGGAATTTGTCCTTTCTAATAAAATTAGAAAATTTGAAGAAGTCAGAAATGCCATGGGGAGAAAAAAAATCATAAACAGGTTGGAGTATTTCAGCCAAACATTTTGTCAATTCGTGTTGCACAGAACAAATCACAGAAAGAATGGGTCTGAGAGGCATATTGTCCTCATGATTAAACTATACAACCGTAGAGGTCGGGAACCAACAGATCTAATGCAATTGTACACACTCTTGGAAATCAGCTTGCTATGATATATAGAAAGCAACCGTCTCTGTATTCTCGCCTCTATTTTGTTGGGATTGTCACTTATATAGACAGAACCAATCTTCCTAAACTTAGAGGAATCATGTAAAATTACTTCCATTTTATCAATCAGGACTATTAAGAATTATCACACGAGAGTCTTGGTGATATAGATATCACTTCTAGACTTTACAGACTCAATAGGTTGTAAGTGAACACTCCGCCAAGCAAAGAAAATCACGATCTGCGGAAAGGGAAGAATATTCATTAGATAGTTTAACTAAACTAATTTTACACAATGAAAACTTATCAGGAAAGGAAGGTTTATTTGAAATTAAACTAAGAGAATTAGTTCAAACTAAGCATAGATATGCTCTTTGTTTACTTTAGAAAGGGGAATGCAAAAATCCAACCCTCGAGAAAGAAGAAGCCATTCGATCTCTATAAAAGTAACGTTGTAGAAATTAAATATATGTTCATCGGAATCTTTTAGAAACGAGAACATTGAGATATCTCTGATTTCTTAATTGGATACGTTTTTCAAATTGCAAATTCATTGTCGCTAAATAACAAGAAAAGCGAAAAAAAAAAGAATATTGTCCCGTCTACGTGTGTTCAATATCGTTGTTATTTGTCCTTTACGTGTTTTTTTTTTTTCATTCCTTATTGTTTTTTACTTGTTCTCTCTTTCTCTCTTTTCTTTCAGTTGTAGGAGTTTTTAACTTCGTTTTTCAGACATTCACTGTACTATATATATATATATATATATATATATATATATATATATATATATATATATATATATATATATATGAATATATATATATATATATATATATATATATATATATATATATATATATAAATGAACATATATATATGAACATATATATATATATATATATAAAAAACATATATATATATACATATATGAACATATATATACATATATATATATATATATATATATATATATATATATATATATATATATATATATATATATATATATATATAATATATATATATGAAATATATATATGAGCATATATATATGAACGTATATTTATGAACACACACACACACACACACACACACACACACAATATATATATATATATATATATATATATATATATATATATATATATGAACATATATATGTAACTAAAGATAAGCGTATAAAAAAAAAAAAGAGCGATAAATATAAGCCGTCAATTGCTGATACCCCTGAGGAATGAAGGCAGAGGTCCGCCTATGAAACTTCGGAGTCGGATTCTGAAGGTAACATGAATCAGCTATGTGACAAACCTTTACTCATATTAATCCTATTTATGTATGTATGTATGTATGTATGTATGTATGTATGTATGTAATCCTCTTCTTCTCCCTCCAGCTATGAGTAAATAGCTGGGCAGATTGGGTTCTATAGCCTTGGATAGTCTAGGAGAAGGACAACTCAGAATTCAAAACCTGCGGTGGATAGTTTGGGGACCTTGTGGTACGTAGTGCACCAGGTCTCTGTATTTGACCCTTCAAAAAGTGTGCTTGATTCTGCACAACTATAATTAAATCATATGTGCTAGTGTCTGGGTTGTCGGTTCCTAGGAACTGAGCTGCTTGACCCTTATACATTGAATACGACGGGAGAGTCCACCATATATATATATATATATATATATATATATATATATATATATTGTTACATAACAGGCAACGAATGTCTATTATGTTTGATCATGAGCCGTTCAAAACTCCGTATGGTTGCTTTAATTTCGGGTGACAATAAAGACAAAAACTGTACAGCATTTGGGTATTTTTTATTATGCTATTCCTTGATCTAAGAGCGGTTATATAGATATTTAAACAAAGGTATTCATCACCAAAGATGATATTCTGTTATCTTGACATAGAAGATTGCTATGCGACGATGATGGTCACGAAATGGCAGACGCATGTCGTAAGTTCATAATACCGTTCTATATAGTCGTACAAGATAAGAGACTGAAATATTAAAACAGAACCATATATTTAGATGCAGTATAATATATTGTGACTAGTTTGAAATGTAATTTTGTTGAGTGTGGGTTGCTTTGTTTAAATGTAGATGACCTCTGATATCTGAAGGTTATTTTTACTCTGTGTATGTGTAAATATTGTTGTGTTACCAACTAATATGTGTCTAATATTATGTGCATGGCTATGTTTTTCTAAGAAATGTTGTTTAATAGAACTAGGATCAAAAAGGTGACAGGTAAGTCTACGGGAGAGCGTGGTTGTAGTAAAACCAATATTTGCAGTGGGTTTATTATTAGTATCAGAGATACAATCTCTGAACGGGCATGTAAATTGATACGCTACATTGTTTTCTTGTAGAGGTATTAGTTGTGTGGTTGTAAGTTTAACAGAGTTCTCGTGTAAATTTGAGGACGGAGTGACTTTCAAATTTGTTTTTAAGTTGTGTAATTTGATCAATATTTGTAGCTAAAACGAAAATATCATGTATGTATCTTACATATATAGGGGTTTTATTAGTGTCATTAAGTATTTTATTTTCTAAATGTGCCATATAATAATTAGAAAAAAGTGGGCCTAAAGGAAATCTCATTGCAATACCGTCTATTTGATTATAAATGTTACCTAGGGGGACATGAAAAGATACTTGGGTAGTACATACTACTAATAATTATTTTTAAAATAGTAGGTTTGATATTGATGGATGGGAGAGAAGGGTGATTGTATAAATCACGGATAATGATGTCAATCGTTTCATGGACTGCGACATTTGTAAATAAATTTTGTACATCTAACGAATGTGATTATTTGGTTGTTTGATTTTACAGCATGAAGACTTTGTATAAATTCATTTATGGACTTAACACAATAT